GGAGAATCAACCCTTTCTAGTATGATGTGTTTTTTTTTCTTTTTTTTTTTTTCTTTGACACAGAGTCTTACTTTGTCACCCAGGCTGGAGTGCAGTGATGCAATCTCGGCTCACCACAACCTCTGCCTCCTGGGTTCAAACGATTCTCCTGCCTCAGCCTCCCAGGTAGCTGGGATTACAGGTACATGCCACCACCCCTGGCTCATTTTTGTATTTTTAGTAGAGATGGGGTTTCACCATGTTGGCCAGGCTGGTCTCCAACTCCTGGCCTCAGGTGATCCGCCTACCTCAGCCTCCCATAGTGCTGGGATTACAGGCATAAGCCACCGCACCCAGCCTCAATTTTGATGACTTTCCCTGATGACTAATGATGTTGAGCATATTTTCATTGCTTTTTTCCCATTTATTTCCTTTTTTTTTTTTTTTTTTTTTGAGGTGGAGTTTCTCTCTTGTTTTCTAGGCTGGAGTGCAGTGGCTTGATCTCGGCTCACTGCAGCCTCCACCTTCCAGGTTCAAGCAATTCTCCTGTCTCAGCCTCCCGAGTAGCTGGGATTACAGGCACACGCCACCATTCCCAGCTAATTTTTGTATTTTTAGTAGAGACAGTGTTACATCATATTGGTCAGGCTGGTCTCAAACCCTGGACCTCAGGTGATCTGCCTTGGCCTCCCAAAGTGTTGGGATTACAGGCGTGAGCTACCCACTGTGCCCGGCTATATCTCTTCTTTGGAGAAATATCTAATCAAGAAAATCATTTTTGCTGTTTCTTTTTGTTTGTTTTTTTCTCTGAGATGGAGTGTCACTCTTGTTGTCCAGCCTGGAGTACAATGGCGTGATCTCGGCTCACTTCAAACTCTGCCTCCTGGGTTCAAGCGATTCTCGTGCCTCAGCCTCCCAAGTAGCTGGGATTACAGGCGTGCACCACCATGCCCTGCTAATTTTTATTTTTAGTAGAGATGGGTTTCTCCATGTTGGTCAGGCTGGTCTCGAACTCCTGGCCTCAGGTGATCCGCCCGCCCGGGCCTCCCAAAGTGCTGGGATTACAGGCGTGAACACCGCGCCTGGCCTTTACTGTATTTTTTAGCAGAAAGAAAATGATTGCATTACAGTGGTTATTTTTAAGGGCCCCAACCTCCACTTTGTCCTGAGATCTACGTTGTATTGTTTTCAGTGTTTTGACAGGCCTTTTCATTTTTATAAATGCCCCAGAAGTTATAGTGCAGCCCTAACTTTCTAGCAGGACTCAGGAGCTGACGGTTTTCCTAAGTTTCATTCACATCACATGAAGGCAGCAATTGTTAAAATATATTTCGATTCCATTAGGGTACATTTTGCTATCACATTGAAGTCTCTCAAGAATTATTTTATTCCCATCAGATGTTGTTACTGAGCAGTTTCTGGTGCTGAACATGAGTAAGAACCTTTAGGTGGTGCTCTTTGATTGAAAACATTTATCCCTCAAACAACTTAAATACAGAAGTATATTGCAGGAAAAAGTGACTTTTATTTTTTTAGGGATAATCTCCCAGGTTTACTTGATTTTCCTGCCATTTATATTGCAGAGGCTAGTAATTTGCCCATCTCCTCCAACCCCAAGCACCCCAAGACTGATATTTTTCTATCACCTGCTGCTAATTATGCCTCCCAAAGAGTCTCCCATCTCTGACGCAGAGAGAACCTTCTTAGTGGGGTCACGGCTTCCCTTGCATCCAAGAGCTGTCTGTCCCACAGCCTGGTCAGACTCCCGCAGCCTCAAACCCCAGGTCTCCCATCCACTTCCTCACTCACTCCTCTTTGCTCATTTTTCTGCCAACGATTCATCATGTATTTCTAGGACTCTCTGCTCACTTCCCAGCCCTTACTTTTTTTGTTTTGTTTTTTGAGATAGAGTCTCGCTTTGTCACCCAGGCTAGAGTGCAGTGTCACAATCTCAGCCCACTGCAACCTTCATCTCCCAGGTTCAAGTGATTCTTCTGCCTCAGCTTCCCAAGTAGCTGGGATCACAGGCATGCACCACCATGCCTGGCTGATTTTTTTATTCTTAGAAGAGATGGGGTTTCGCCATGTTGGCCGTGCTGGTCTTGAATTCCTAACCTCAGGTGACCTACCCACCTTGGCCTTCCAAAGTGCTGGGATTACATGCGTGAGCCACCATGCCCAGCCCCAGCCCTTACTTTTGGTTGAGGGTTACCTTTCCTTTCATTCTGGCTAAAGAGTTGAAGTCAGTTGGAAAAACCCAGAGTTAATCTTCCTTTTTTTTTTTTTTGAGAGAGTCTCACTCCATTGCCCAGGCTGGAGAACAGTGGCACAATCATGGCTCACTGCAACCTCCGCTTCCTGGGTTCCAGCAATTCTCCTGCCTCAGCCACCAGAGTAGCTGGGACTACAGATGTGCACCACCTCACCCGGCTAAGTTTTTGTATTTTTAGTAGAGCCAGAGTTTTGCCATGTTGGCCAGACTGGTCTCGAACTCCTGGCCTCAAGTGACCCACCCACTTCAGCCTCCTAAAGTGCTGGGATTACAGGCATGAGCCACCATGCCCGGCTGACCTCCCTAACTCTAAATCTTTACCCCTCTGTCTCTAAAGTCTGACCAACTTTTTAATTCTTTTAGAGACAGAGTCTTGCTCTGTCACCCAGGCTTCAGTACAGTGGCATGAGCAAAGCTCACTGCAGCCTCAAACTCCTGGGCTCAAGTTATCCTCCCACCTCAGTCGCCCAAGCAACAGGGACTACAGGCACATGCCACTACACCCAGTTTTTTGTTTTGTTTTGTTTTGTTTTAAAGACGGAGTCTTGCTATGTTGCCCAGGCTGGTCTCAAATTCCTGGCCTCAAGTGATTCTCCTGCCTCAGCCTTCCAAAGTACTGAGATTACAGGCGTGAGCCACAGTGCCTGGTCCTGATCACCTTTTCTCCATCACTTCTTCCCTAACACTTAGTTTCCCTGTCCCTGACTTTCTCACCACTAAAGGACCCCTGCATTCCTCTAGAAACCTTGTGGGACTAGATTCTTCTGTCACATACCCTATTCTTAAAAATAACAACAACAACAAAAGCCAATTTAAATACTTTAGAAGATTATACTTTTCAAAGATTTTACTAAATCATTTTTTTAACAAAATATACATTAAATCTCAGATTTACAGAATATAGAAATAATTTATCCAAAGAAATTTGCATTTTAAAATTGTTAGTATTGCACCCAACAGTATGTCTTTGACACATTTGCATTGTCAATCTTTCCCACAATTTGCGAAAACAGGAGAGAAATCTGAAACTAACAGAATTACACAAGCTAACTTTTCTGTAAAAAAAAAAAACTTACAATTTTTTATTTACAAGGAAAAGTTGTAAACGTTCAGCATTTTACTTCCACAGAATAAAAAGCCATACATTCTTTTATCAAACCTAGAAAATGAACTATATACACATTGTGATTACCTCATAGGAATTCAACGGGACTGATATTGTGAACATTCACAGCCCGATGGTAAAAAACAGAATTATTGAACTATGGAAACTAGTGTGTGAAAGACACAGAATGAGAAAAATGTCTGGAAAAAAATTACTTTTACCTCTTTGAGGAGTTTCCATAATTACCTAAAGTTATCTTCAAATTTAAAAGGACACACCATTCCCCAGTCTTAGGAATGTGGCTGCCAATAGCCTTTTCTCTCAAGACATAAGACAAGTGAAAAAGAGTGAGGTCTCTGTTCAAGTCCCTTATAAAATACTTTATATATAGGCAGGCACAAAAGTTTGCTTTCCAAAAGAAAGCTTTACAAAATATTCTGCAATTTATTACTGATATCCTCAGTTTTTAAAAACCCTTTTTTAAAGCCCAGAAATATTTAGATGCTTTAAAAAATGAGAGTAGGGAATTAAATCATTTGGTACTATGGGAAGCTGCTAAAATAATATTTGATAGTAAAAGTATGTAATGTGCTGTCTCACCCAGTAGTAAACCAAAAATAAACTGAAACTTTATGGAATCTGAAGTTATTTTCCTTGATTAAATAGAATTATTAAACCAATATGAGGAGAACATGAAACCATGCAATCTACTATCAACTTTGAAAAAGTGATTGAACCACTTAGCTTTCAGATGATGAACACTGATGTCATTTGTCATTACTACTATAAATTTAAAAATATGTTAAGGTGGCCTATGGAGGGTAAAAAGGAGCTCTGGGAAATTATGCTGAAGATCACAAAGGAAAATGTAACTAATTTTATAATACAATACCATTTGAACTGAAATACAACATGCTTTGTAATTCTATTGCCCTGGATTGAGACCGGATTAGAACGTTCCCTTTCAACCATAGTGAACATAACCAGTTGAATAATAGGACTTTTATTATTATTAAAAAAAATTTTTTTGGAGATGGAGTCTCACTCTGTTGCCCAGGCTGGAGTGCAGTGCCACGATCTCGGCTCACTGGAACCTCCACCTCCCAGGTTCAAGCAATTTCCAGCTAATTTTTATATTTTTAGTAGAGACGGGGTTTCACTGTGTTGGCCAGGCTGGTCTGAAACTCCTGACCTCAAGTGATCCACCCACGCTTGGGCCTCCCCCAAAGAGTGGCTAGGATGACAGGCATAGAGGCCACCCGTGCCCGGCCTATTTTTTAAATTTTTCCTTAAGGCATAGTCTTGCTGCCTGTTACCCAGGCTAGAGTGCATGGCACAGTCTTGGCTCACTGTAACCTCCCATTCCCTCCAGGTTCAAGCGATTCTCCTCGCTTCAGCCCTCTCAAACAGGTGGGATTACAGGTGCCCACCACAAGCCCGGCTCATTTTTAATTTATGGTAGAGACAGGATTTCACCATGTTGGCTGGACTGGTCTCGAACTCCGGGCCTCAGGTAATCTCCCCTCCTCAGCTTCCCAAAGTGCTGGGATTACAGACATGAGCCACCACGCCCAGCCGAATAATAGAACTTTTAAAAGTCCTATTTCTTGGCTCTGCTATTGTTTAATAGTTCAACCCAAGGAGTTTGTTATAAAGGTTATTTATTGTCTTCAATATCTTTGTGACGAATGCAATTCACACACACACACACACACGAAGTCCTGAGAATCTTTCATAAAAAAATAGACGTGCTCTGTGGCCGCGTCCCGGCCTGGGGGTGAGGGATCAGCTGTCCCCGGTGCGCCTGTACTCCGCGGTGCCATCGGCCACGATGGCATCAAGCGGCGAGCGCTTCTTGCGGATGCTGCGCCCGGAGGAGATGAGGTCCGCGTAGCCCCGCTGGTGCGAGAAGGCGTAGGCCGAGCGCCGCGATGACACGCCCCGGCGGAACACCTGCTGCCGCCGCTGCCACTGCTCCTCCGCCTTCAACCGCTTGCGATGCTTCTGGATCTGCAAGAGGGAGAGATGGGGAGGGATGAAGATAAGGTCCACTCCAGGGAGGAGGCCTGGCCAGACGCCTGCCCCATTTTGATGCAGGCAGCTCTGTCCCCACTTTATAGTGTGTGTGTGTATGTGTGTGTCTATATCTTTTTTTTTTTTTTTTTTTGAGATGGAGTCTCGCTCTGTCACCCAGGCTGTAGTGCAATGGTGCGATCTTGGCTCACTGCAACCTCTACCTCCCAGGTTCAAGCGATCCTCCTGCCTCAGCCTCCTGAGTAGCTGGGGTTACATGCGCTGCCACACCTAATTTTTGTATTTTTATTATGTTGTATATTTAGTATATATTTTCACCATGTTGGCCAGGCTGGTCCTGTCCTCCTGAACTCCTGACCTCAAGTGATCTACCTGCCTCGGCCTCCCAAAGTACTGGGATTACAGGTGTGAGTCACAATGCTTGGCTATATCTGTTTATCTATGGAGAGATATATTGACATATAGATATGATGATATAGATCTATATCCATCTCTCTATAGTTATACATAGATTGATCGATCGTTCTACCTACCTACCTACCTGGAGATATATATAGAAGCTGAGGGAAGGTTATCTAACTTTGCCAAGGTCACACAGCTAGAAAATGCAAAGCCAAGATTCCCACTCCCCAGAAGCTAGTGCCCTTTTCTAGTTCAGACCAGATGGGTACAGCCAAAGAGAAAACTCAGTAGGGCCTTTCCGGGTTGTTACTGTGTACTGTTGGAACTGCAAAAGGGAGACCGGAGGGATACTGAAGGTTGCCTCACTAGCCTCTGCTCTCTCCTTCTTTCTAGTGGAAATTGATTGTATTCAGATCACCCCCCCAACCCCCCACAGCCACATTTCTCATGGGCGGTGGGCAGGTTGATTTCCCTTGCTAAACTAGTCCAGAATGGGCAAGTGACCTATTTGGCACATGAGACCTGAAGGCACTGTACTGGGGCCCTTGGGTGAGAAGTTCCCTGGCCCCTAAGGAGCTACAGAATAGTATCTTATCTCCCCTCGACACTGATATGTCAGGATGTGATGCCCAGAACTGCTCTGGCCATCTTCCAGCATCCATATGAAGCTAATAATGAAGGTTTCTGGGAGGAGAGATGGCAAGAACCTGCCCAATCCTTTTTTGACATTAAGTTGCTCAATCCGCTGGGCCTGAAGTCTGCTAATGATTAATGATGACGCACTACTGTAGAGATATTTTGAGTCACAGATTTCGGTTCCTGTAGCTCAAAGGGTCCTGCTACAGAAGGTACATTTTTCTTTAAATAAAGAAAAAAACCCAATCTGATATGTATGACAAAATGTTAACACGGTAATTGTTAAACTGAGGGGATAGATATACGGGGCTCATTATTCTATTCTCCCTTTTTTGTTTATGTTTGGTAATCTTTGTATTAAAAAGAAAGCACACTAAATTCCCAATTCCAAAAGACTTATTTGTGAGATAGAGTTAAAGAAAGAGAAACAATCATGAAAAATCATTCTTACAAAACTTCCCATGAGCTTAGAATTTTGCAGGAAAGGTGCTGTTGGGAAACGCTTTGGTTTCTGTGAGGGACAGATTTGGGAGAGGACTGTATTCGATATACCTTATCACTTTCTGATGGCCAAATGGTCATTGACAGGAATCTGATGGCAACGACGGGCAGTAAGCACACGGCAACGGTCAGGATTATAGTTAACCAAATGTATGGCTGTCTCAGAGCGTTTGAAGCTGTGCCTGTAAAGAACATGGCAAATGAATCACGGTGGTCCCTTTTTCCTAAGA